GGTCATGTCATCTTTAAAAGGCTGGGCAGCTACACGACACTCGATCTGAACGCTACTGTGCTTTGGTACAGCAACTATCTCTTTCTTTGTTTTCACTGCATACTCATCTACCTGTTCTGCACTAACAGCCTATATAAAAGCTCTCACTTTTTTTTTCTTGAGACTTGGGAAAGCTTTTCTCACAGCACTGTACTGTTTGGTCTTATCAGTATTTGCCAGGATGTGCTCAATGACATTAAAACCGATGATGGGATGCGACAGGTGACAGCCTTTCATCACAAGCACTGGAATGAGTAGTTCTTTTGTTTGGTCCATTTCTGAGGTTGTCTCAATCCAACCCAGGTAAGGCATTTCAGTTCCATTTGCTGCAGTCAATGTCAGATCATTAGGTGAGTCCAGGAATTCTGAAACGTCACTCAGTCTTAAACTCCTCCTCTTTCCACTTTTCATCAATAATTGACACCTGGGACCCTGTGTCCCATAAAATTTGGAGTTGGTGACCATTTAGATAGCATTCAACAAGGTACTGTCTGCCCACTAGTGAAGTGACTTTGTGCGGCTGGCCGACTGGAGCTAAGAGTGGCAAATAATGTGCACTTTTGTCTTTGCAGGGAGATTTTCCATTAGCATTGTCAGTTATCAGGTGAGTAAATTTCCTTTAATGTTCAGTCCAATGTTGTTTTTGACATGCTCTGCAACAATACAGTGTCTTTTTACAGGGTGAGCATTTCTTCAGTTTCTTTGGTGAGGCTTTCTTGCCACAATTTGCACATTTCTGGGACGCTTTACTGGCTACGGTTAACACTCGTCCCTCAGTGGTAACCCCCTGCCATTTAAAGGGGCCTCTTTTGACGGTCTGACTCCTCTGATTTTACATCCAGCTTGGAAATGTTCTCCACTCCCACATCGGTAGCAGTTTGTACAAATTTCATCTGATCTGGTCTGCTGGCAGACAAAGCACCTCCTTGGGACATGAGCAGAGTGGTTGGTGTACAGGTTAGGGGCATACTGGGGCCATGTTGGAGCTGGTGCTTGGGGCGAGCTCTGGCTGCTATAATACTGCTGCTGGGAAAGTGGCTGGGCATAGGGCTGGGGCTGAAATGTAGGCTGCCATAGGGTCTCTTTAATCTGGGCGATTTCTGCACTGAGACCCTTAAGAGAAGCAACACCTGTCTTAAGTTCTGCTAACTCTGCCATCAATTCAGGTGGCACTCTTATATTAGCTTCTTTCACAGAGCACTTTGTAGATGGTGGATCTTCTGACTGGACTAAACTTGCACTTGTAGCTAGCTGTTGGGTGTTATACTTCTTTTTGTTTCTTCTCTCTGCCTCGTTAGCACAGGCAATGTTTAGCCTCTCTAACAAAAGCTCATCTGAGGTTTCAGTATCTAGCAGGAGGGGCTGCATGTCTATCCTGATGCTGTCATTCTGGAGACCAGTAAGCACTGTGTGTAAACTCATGCGCTGGACTAGAGCTGGGTCATACTTAAGTCCTGATTCTGACTCTTGGGATGCAAATAATACTTTCTGCCTTAGACTAAAACCGCCTATGCTGTGCTTCTGGTGCTAGCTGTTTGTGAAGCTCTGTGGCGCTCTTTTCTTGGAAGTGGGAACACAGAATGCATCTCAGTGTGGGAAGAGTCAGGTGAGGTTTTCCCTCCAAACAGCTGCGTAGTTGCGAGCCTGGAGAGATAGCTCTGATTACAACATCCATAATCTCTATCTCGGGATAACCCCTGTTTAGTCCATTCTCAATCTGATGAGCAAGACTGGAAAATGTCAGCTTATCTCTCTGGCCTGGTTCGCCTATTTTTCCGGAAACTTTGAAATCTTTACGCCAGTGTGGACTTGTCTGCTGCTGAGCACTGGCTAAGGATTGAATGCTTACTGGAGAGCCTGTGGTGGCTTGGTGCAGGGAGTCATTATCAAGGGCATTGACTGTAGTAGTCTGCATCCTTCCCAATAGTTGTGGTTGGCTTGCAATGCTCAGTTCATCCATTTCTTTCTGTGTCTCTGTCTTCCGAATGTGGTGTTCAACATGTGTCATCTCACTATCACCACCACCCTTGAACATCTCTGCAATTTTGTCTTTCAGTGGCAACAACTCTGACACACCATCGTCTTCTAGCTCTGCCACTTCCTCTCTTTCAAGGTGCTTAAGAATGTGAGTCACCAATGAAATGCAGGATTTTCCTTTAATATCAGCTCTTTGTGCACCTGATATGCTCAAAAAGTCACAGATTCCCAGTAAACTGTCTCTAGTTAGGGTCTGCAACACTCCTACTACCTCTTCCTGCAGTTCTTCCAGGGCTGACATGTTGACAGTGCAGGGGCCTTTAACTGTGCAGGAGTTGACTCTGAACTGGTGGGTCCTTACTGTCCCTGATGAGCTCTAACTGGCCTCAGGTAAGGTTTGCTCGACCACCAGCTTCCAGTTCTCCTTGAACAGCTACACTTTCCTCACTGCAGCCTGCCTGGGTGTAGATTGGGGATTTAGCTGGTGCAGAATTCAGCGTACAGGCTGTGGACACTGGACATCTGAGCAGCAATCCCAGCGGTGCCTCCAAAATGTTATCCCTCAAACTAAAGAGGGGAGAAATAATCACAAAAGATATTAGATGTGTGTCTCTTGCGCAAGCTTTACTCGAATCAATATGTATGAAATGTAACAAAAAAATACAACAATTTACACACTACAGAAACACAAAAATGGCGAAGCTGGGACCTGCACACACACACACACACACACACACACACACAACAAAACTTGACTACATGTACCCAAAAAATAACAGAAACATTATGTATATATTCTTAACATGTTAACAAGTTACTACAGACAAAACAACTCAGTTTCACATACACAACATACCTAAAGAGGGGAGAAATATTCACAAAAGATATTAGATGTGTGTCTCTTGCGTGAGAAAAGAGCGAAGAGCGCGAATTCTCCAGGTATGTGGGCGGAGACTAAAGCAATCGATCTCAGAGTGCAGGACTGAGACCAGTCTGTAGATCACAGGTTAAGATTGGAAATACTTTAAATATTAGAATTTTAACACGTTAGAATTAAATAACAATGAAAAATAAACACTCTTAATACATTTAATAAACATTCAGCTTTCCTTCACCCCACAAAAGTCTAAAGAGTATCAATTCCCAACTTGTCACATAAACATAACCAAACCTTGATTTGTGAAAACGCTGACTTGTTAAATCTCAACTAATAAATGTATAAAAAGTAAAATGTTACAAATACTCTATAAACTCTGCAGACTATCCAAATAAAGACAACAGCATTCAGCAGTCAAACTTTGTTGTCCCTTATTGTAACGTGTTACCAAAAAAAGCCACTGTGTGCATGGGAGTGAGGATACATTTAATATTATTATATACATTAACAGTTGTTCAAGTCTGTCTTAAAATAATAATCAGTTGTCTATACGAACAATGTTACAGTTTGTTTTTGTATTATTCCTCCTGTTCTTACTGGCCCTTAAAAGATCAGGGGCCACCATGGAAACAGTGTGAAACAGTAAGTTCAGGTTGATCTATATTTAGATACTTCCATGTTTGAATGGTGTGCTAACACTTATTGTGAGGTGCAATATTCTCAGCATTAAACACAATGCTGTTTAATCGTTCACAGTTCACACATTCTCCCAGTGTAAAAACTTTTTTGTTCAATTACATCAACTGTATTTTTCAGTTACCTTGCAGTAACATGAAGATGTGGAGCCTTCAAAACCTGCTGCTCATCATCTGCAGTAAGTTCCTAAGATTAAATCAACATATTATATATATATATATATATATATATATATATATATATATATTTGTTTCAAAATAAAAAACATAAATACTGTTTTAGGAATGCTTAATTCTAAGCACCGTCATTACACAGCTATAGCACATTGATAGCATTGATGTACCCTAAGATTTTATTTTTTACTTGGGTTAAATGTGCTCTGAGTATTAAATGTACATCTTTATGCTGTGAAAATAGATTAATGTAATTTAAATCAATCGTTCTGGAGTGAGGATTATATTGAATTAAGATGTGTTTCAAGGCGTTTCTTTCTATTTCCTGTTCCACAGTTCCACTGCATTGTGTGACCAGTGCAGCTGATGTGATCTATGCAGCTGGATACACTGGAAGAGAACTTAAAGTGTCCTGTCCCTATCAAGAGGGATATGACTTTCATGAGAAATACCTGTGCAAGAATGAGTGTGACAAAGATGATGAAATTGTGATTAAGACTACAGAAGTGAAGAAGGGCAAATACTCCATCCTTGATGACAAAAAGAAACAAATCTTCACAGTGACCATCTCTGATCTTGATCATATGGATGCTGGTAAATACCGGTGCATGATGAACAGACTAGGAGTGGATCCCTCGAGTGCTGAAGTACAAGTGGAGGTGGAGCCAGGTACTAGAATAAATTAATCAATCAATTAATAAACCAATAGATAAATAAAAATTCTGAATGGCCATATGTATAACCTACTGTGTATGTCCCTCAGCTGTCTAATGTGAAAGTTACATTGAATGTTGTTAAGTGTGGAAGATGCTCCCTTTAAGTGCCACAGCAGGAAGAACACAGGATTTCTCTGCAAAACCCCTCAACTCAAAACCCTTTACACTGAGAGCAGAATGTTTAACTAAAGTCTAACTAATAAAGTTCAATTTAAAAAAAAATTGTACTTAACCACTTTTTACATTTCAAATGAACAAAATCATGTCCCAGAGATTATAACTGAACAAACATTTGTGTAATAACCTTATATATTTATATATTCTGTGTCTGTGCCTGTGACGATCTGTGATGTTGATTATTTTACTGACAGACACCTGCTGTGACCGACCCACTAAAGTCCAAGGCTATGAGACAGGTTCAGTGTCCTTCAGTTGTCCGTATGAGTCTAAGTACCGGACCAACATAAAGTACATCTGCAGAGGAAACCAGCCCTCCACATGTCTGCAGCAGGCTTTAATCACCTCTGACCACAAACGAAACAGACAGTTCACACTGACTGATGATACAACATCAAGGAAATTCACAGTGACGATTAAAAGTTTGACCCAAAGGGATTCTGGTCCGTACCTTTGTGGTGTCCATGGAAACACTGGATTGGATGTTTTCTCTGCTGTTGAGCTGGAAGTCAAAGGTGAGTCATCATAGCTCTCCCTCCTCATATCACACAGAGGGTTGGTTTATACATAAGAAACATTACTGCTCACAAATGCTAATGAGTCGTCTGTAAAACAGGGTTAAAGTACAGTTCTCTGTAAACCTGCACATTGTAAAACAGACTCAGAACTTTTTATGTCTGTTTTTGTTGTTAGTTGAAAACACATAAATTATTTATTTTTACTTAGTTGATAATAAGGATAAAAAATAAAGATTTACTGTCCTAATAATCTTTTTCTCTGACAGCTTTACCAAAGCAGACCACTGTTGTGACCACTCTCATCACTGTGGAACCTGTTAGCTCTACTTCACAAGCAACACAGATCTCTGAGAAACCCACCAAAGGTACATATGTCTGTGTGTGTGTGTGTGTGTGTGTGTGTGTGTGTGTGTGTGTGTGTGTGTGTGTGTGTGTGTGTGTGTGTGTGTGTGTGAATCATATTTGTTAGCATTTAGTCTAAGTGCTCCTTCTTCACTGACTCCACTGCAACAACCTATAGATTCAGTTCCTATGGCTACTTTGATAAGTCATTTTCTTTGCAGATGCAGCGCCCTCTAGCTGTTTGCTTCTTACTGTCCTTGCAGTTGTGGCTCTCCTGCTGAGTCTGGCGTTTGGCCTTGTCATGGTTTATAAATATTGCAAATTACAAGGTATGTTTCACACACCACATACTCATACACACACACAAACACATGCATTAAGCTAACTATGATTCAGTCCTTTCTGATAAAGGTGTATTATTGCAGGAGTTGGAGTCGTCATGAACAGAAACATGTGGAAGGCCACTGAGGCTGAAGAGATGACGGCTGTTGTTGATGTAAGAACAATAAAGTTTACAGACCTACAAGTGGACTTACCTGCAATATTCATTACACTCAATCTGCCTGTTATAGTTTTACATTATGCTCTCAAAATGATTGCATTTCCTCAATAAATGTTGACATGGCGAGTGTCCTGTAATATGTATTTATTCATTTATTCCTTCTTTTCTTTCAGATTTATGGCTTTGAAGATGACATGTACTCCCACCTGGACTCCTACAAACAGAGCACATTGTAACGTGATAATAATAATGCAGGTGATGTAGGAAACTGTACACTGACAGCGGTCTGTCCCATTTGTAATTGACCCTGTAATTGAAGATGGTTAAAAAATAAAAGCCACATAATTGTCTTAACTTAACTAGCTAATGTTAGCAAAATGCTAGCTAACTTTACATCAGTCCTCAGTAAGTTAGTTAGCTAATGTTTCACTAACATTAGCTAACTAACTAACAATGTTGCTAGATTAGCCTAGCACGTAGTATCTAAGAACAGGAAAGGAGGAAGTTGACCAAGGCTTGCTCAATTGTTATTGGAGCACAGAGCATTAAGGGGCGGGACTTAGGATGGGTCAATCAGTTTTAAGTCAATAACAAGTCAACAGTGTATGATTGATCAAACTTTACGTTCTGGTCACATTTGTTATAAGCGTATACTGTACTGCCTCAGCAATCAGCTGACCAACACGTCCACCACTGTGGTAAACAGGTTGCTATTTTTATATTTTTTAGAACCTTTAGAATAATTATGAATTGCTTGCAGTCGATCACTTGACGTCTTTTTGAGACATTCTGGATAAATGTTTCAGTCTATTAATCAAAATGTTTTGTGCCTTTTGCAAAATGAACAAATAAAGAAAACTGTGAGAAACCAGCGCTTATACTATAGTAAGCATTGACGCTACATTTCTAACTTATGAATGTTACTGTAGAATAAATATATAGCAATCTTTACGATATCTGTTGTCAGTGTGGTGGAGAAATGATAAAACAAGAATAATAATTCACAGAGGTAATATGCATTTATATTTTCAAAACATAAATGTCTGGTTTTATACCCTTTACTGCTGAGAAGTGCACCAGAACCTGTTGCCTACATGATGCTTTGCAGTGCAGTTCCTTGTGAGGCAGAGGATGTAGGAGTTAGTCAGGTCACAGAATCGGAGAGAAAACAATAAATTACACAGCAATAACATATTAGAGGTTAGGTTGCCATTGAGATAAGGCCTACATCTCACAGTGCAGAGCTCCCTTTAATATGTGTTTGACTGACTGATATATAAAGGATTGGAAGGATATTTAGATAAACTCAAACAATCAATATCAATCACAATGCTTTACTAGCTGCATCTGCATTCACGTACAAATACTGAAAACATCACTCTACAGGTCTTGACCCATCCAAACCTTATTTTGATGTATTTGCTGCTGCAATTTAATCATCTAGATTTCAGGATGCCAAGCGGCCTCAATGGTGGTGTAGTGGCAGCCTTAATCGTGAGTGGGTCATTTTCCTAAGGGCCTACAATAAAAGATTAATGAAGATGACAGCAGCAGCCACAGACATGCATGCTGTACTAAATTCAAGTTGGGATGGAGGTGAAAATGTTTTATAGGTCTTATTTGAGTTCCACCCAGATGTTTTATTTTATTATTAATGATATATGTGTAAGTTTGTTCAGTGACTGAAATTGTCACACACTTGTGTCTCCATCAGCTCATTTGATAATATGTCACCTGAGCCAAAGTTACTGCTGGAGTTGCCCCTGCCAACATGTAACCAGGCAACACCAAACAAACCTGGTCTGGTTCAGGACCGAAAACTGTGCATCACTGATGCTAACGTTACTTTTAATATAGGCCAGAGTCTGCTTTGTTTGTAATTTAATTGTCAGAAAATGAGTTCCGAGGTTTTAGTGTCAAGGCCATACTATGACAGCAGAGCTGTGGCTCAGGGGGTCCTGGAGAGAGAGCCTCCCGTACAGGTCCCGCAGCCGTCCTCCGGCTCGGCCACCGCGGGGTACCGCTCCGCTAAATACACCCCGGCTGAGTGGTTCTCCAACTACCACAGCATCCTCCAGCAGGCCGGGACCGACTACCACGCTGCCCGCAGGATCCAGAGAGAGTCCAAAACTCTGCACCAGGACGCCGAGGCCGACATTTTGAAGACCCAGGCAGACGGGACGCGTTTTCTGGGAGAGAGGCTAGAAGAGATCCACTACTGGAGGTCTGAGCTGCAGCGGCACATCGACCAGCTGCGGGCCGACACGGAGGCACTGCTGGCGCTGAAGCTGAGGCTGGAGAAGGCGCTGGACGCCACCGAGACTCCGTACGCCATCTCCACCGATAATCTGAGCTGCAGGGCCAGAAGACTGGGACCAGACCTGGTGAAGGACTCTGTGGAGGAGGAGCTGTTAAAGGTGAGCCATAAAGATAGCCTGTATAATATAGGCTATAATAAAGTTTCTATCGGCTGTAGGCTTTAATGGTAGTGTTAAAATAAAGAATAGTAGGCTGCATTAAATAATAGTTAGCCTACTTCACAATATAGAATATAGAGAAAATATGTTTGAAAAAATGAAAATAATAATAATTGTAAATAAATAATAATAAATGAAAGTTTTGAATGGAAAACTACAAAATAATATCATCGATACTCTGATAATTTTGTTGTTTTTTTACAGTAATATTCTTAGAAACAAGTGTCTACTCCTGTATTTAGTGTATCAGTAGCACCAGAAGAGGGCTCACTGTAACACACACTAACCAGAAGTGTGTTTTGTAGGAAGTGGACTTGATCAGGAGCATCCAGGCTCTTCTGAAGAGAACTACAGCTCAGGTTGTCAGTCAGATCAAGTGAGTCAAGTCAAAATCTGTTTACTGGGAGTAAAACTGTCTAACATGCAAACCCACTTTTAAAATGTCCTCTTTAGCTTGAAGCTCTTACTTTGGTTTGTGTCTGTTAGGATGAACAGAGAGGCCAAGCAGACGTTAGAGCTGGACTGGTCTGATAAGTACCAGGCCTACAACTTTGATGACCGCAGTGGAAGATACAGTAACATGAGCCCAGATACGCAGCAACACCCCAGCTCAGCCACCATGCAGGACCAGTGAGTGTGTGTGTTTGTGTATCCAAACCTTAGAAATACATCAAATTAATCAAGGTTTAGAAAATAATAAAAAGTGTACATTTTTAAGGTAATGTGTCCTGTGGTCTGCTGCAGGTTGTGTAACTCCACATCATGGACACAGTTTACACAGGACAACCTGTTGAAGGCCCTGCAGGAGGAACGGACCACCAGCAGTCTCAGGTCAGTGTGTTTAACCTGCCACAGAACCAGGTTTATCTCTGTGTGATTGAAGTTAAAATTTCAATTTGTTTGTGTGTGTCAGAGTGCTGGTGGAGCGAGTCCTGCAGGACACCACCGAGGATCTGAGAGTCCAGTGTGCCAGTGCGGACCGAGCCTTCAGCCAGCGCTGCGTGGAGCTGGTAGAGGCCAAGACCCAGCTGGAGCTGAAGCTCGCACAGGTAGACAGACAGACTGACCACCAGACAGTGGAGGTGGAAGCATTCAGATCCTTTACTTAAGTAAAAGTACAAATACTACACTGTAAAAATACTCTCTTACATGTTAAAGTCATTAAACATACTCAACCCAGAAAATAGTCCCTTGTGACTGTTACACTGTATGTATGTACTGTATTATATATAAGCAGCATTTTACTGTTGTAGTTGGTTGGGCTGATTTTGAACTGTTTTAAAGATTAGAAAGACAGCTCCAGATTATGTTCTCAAGTGATCTATTCAATTGATTGTTCGGTTTGTAAAATATCAGAAAATAGTGACTTTTCACAATGTGTGGTTTTGTCTAATAGTTCAAACCTCAAAACTATTAAAACTTAAATTATCTAATTAAAATAAATACAAGGAAAATCAGTAAATCCTCATTTGAGAAGCTGGGACTATAAAATGTTTTACATGAAAAGTGACAAACTATTCTCAAAATAGTTTCTGTCAATCAAATAAATAACTGATTCCTTCAGCTCTACTTGTTTGTTAGATCCAGTTAGGGATGTAAAGATATATGGCGAGATACAAATATGTGAAGATTTAAATCGATGAAATTAATAATTAATCGTGTTACTCTTTTCAAACAGCAGAGGGCACTATAACTACTTTTGACTCTGCTTGATGTCACTTGTGTCAGTGGCTGCATCAAAGCACAAATCAGTTTCATTTTAACAAAAAAGGGAATATGCATTGTTTTGCATAGTTTATACCTCAGAAATAAAAAAGGATTCTTTAATTTTATAAATAAAATGAAGGAGAAATTCTATTTTATAGATTTCGGTCAGACAAATAAAGGAATATTTTTCATTCAAAATTTAATTCGAAAATCATATGAATGAATGAATGAATTAAAATATGAGTTGAGTGTATTGTTACATAAATACAGTACTTTAATTTATAACAAAGCATCACATTTTAGACTCTGTTTATATGTAGTAGTAGAGGTAGAAAGTAGCATGAAAAGTTCTCAAGTAAAGTACAAGAATTACAATACTGAAGTACAGTAAACTAAGTTACATTTCACCACTACAGAGTAGCTGATTGATTGATTGATTGATTATCTACTGTGTGATGTTCTGTGTAGATCTTGGAGCAGATTGGGGCCCAGGAGAAGAATATTGTGGCTCTCCAGCAGGCCATCCACAATAAAGAGGCTCCACTGAGAGTAGCTCAATCCAGACTTTACCTCCGCTCCCTCAGACCCAACATGGAGCTCTGCAGAGATCAACCCCAGCTCAGGTACACACACACACACACACACACACACACACACACGTGTACATCTTACTCTATATGGCTCTACTGCCTTCCTCTCTATTCATTTTGTTTGCGTTTTTGTGTCTGTAGTTTGGAAGGGGAGGTGAGGCAGATCGATGCCACTGTGGCGTCTCTGCACCAGCAGCTGAGTGAGGCCAGGGACTCGCTGTCCCACCTGGAGGAGTCACGCATTACCCTTGAGAAGGACATAAACTGTAAAACCCACTCACTGTTCATCGAGAGAGACAAGTGCATGACTCACCGTAAACGATACCCACCAATCTCCACGCTGTCAGGATACTGACGTCAGTGGCTCAGAGCGATTGTGTGGAATTTGCCTTGTTTTTTTGCTTGGATTGTTTTGCCTCTTTGGTGTGTTGTGAGGATCAGTGAGAAACCAGAAAACTCAGCAATAAGGAACATGTTAAATAGTATTTGAATATAATAAATAATTAAATACTGACAGCCACTGACATTTTCCTCCTTTATATAATGCAGACACAGAACTGCTGGGTTGCTTCACAGCTTACTTACTGCTGCTCCGTATGGTTCTAATAATTTTCTTTATTCGTTCACTTTTTTCCTCAAATCTTTTTATTAAAGTTTCTGCAGACATGGCGAAGTCTGTACAACAAATGCAGTACACACTTTTGCTATAGGTGTGAAAATTATCCAGAGCATCTAACAAAGAGTATGTTACATCAATTGTTAAACCAAAACTAGAAGCAATCAATAATTGTATAAAGGTAAAAAAAAGAAATGGAGAACAGCAATGAATGTGTTTGAGTTTACACACATACATCGACAATCTTATAATCATAGAACAAATAGTCATAAAATGGCCACAGTTGTACATGATTACACACAGGATATATTGCAGGCAGTTATTAAAGGGTGTGTGACCCAAAAATACAAAGTGTGGCCACAGTCGTGAGCACTGCTTAATTAGTTTTGGCTGTGTTGTATTTGATTCCTTTGATAAACATCTTCTGCAGTGATGTCTTTTTACATGTCGTCTCCACCCGTTTTATCAAGGACGTGATTATCATAAATCTAAAGAAAAAAAGAAAGAAAGAGCAGACAGTTACAATGATGAGAATTTACTCAGAGCCTCCAGTAATGTGACACATTTGTCTTAATCTTGCACTTGAACATTGAGCTGGCCCTCCTATAAGATGGCAATACCAGCCCCAAGCCAATTTAAGTTTAGGGCCCCTGCTCTAGAGGCCTCTAACTCTTCAAAGACTTTTTTCTCTTACATGGTCGACATACTGCACTTCTACTTCTTCAGCAGGGGTTGTTGTGTTACTGTTCATGCTGACTTCAGTTCCTGGATCAACACAGAAGAAAAACAAATAACACTACAGTTGTGTACAGTACAGTGTGTGTGTGTGTGTGTGTGTGTGTGTGTGTGTGTGTGTGTGTGTGTGTGTGTGTGTGTGTGTGTGTGTGTGCGCATGCTGTGTGTAAAACATACCTTGCACTTTGTAACATTTATATTTATAGAGCATGACCAATGCCACTGTCAGTACCCCCAGTACAGCCAGCAGGGTGGCAGGCAGAATGTAGACCAGCATGTGAACATCTGTGGAAAACACACACTTCTTACATATTGGTTATCACCAAGTAGCACTAACTTTTGAGACTGTTGCTGTTTCATGCTCCTTTTTTTCATTCATGGTCAAATGAGTGACAAGCTTCCCACACATACACATACAGATCATGTGGATATCATACACACACATGTGTCAAGTTGACATTTAAAAATCCCAAATGCATCAAGATAACTTTTGATTCAAATAAGCAACAGATCTCTACTTCACTAAAAAAAAATAACCATGTGTCTACAACAGAAAATAAAATTATTTTGCCCTTATTCAATAGTCCATAGTGTAAGGAGACCAGAGAAAGGGCATACATCCAGGTAATATACAACTTACACACACAGCTGAAATATCTGCTGCTCTTTTTATAACCTTACCTACTGACAGATGAATCTTGGTGTAGTTAGCAGCAGTCCACTGTGAGTCTGAACCACACCAGTATGTCCCAGCATCACCTGCTTTCAGCTCTGTGATCATCACCAAGAAAGAGCTGGAAGAGACGTCATCTTGCAGCGTGAACCTGCTTTGACTCGTCACCATGTCTGTACAGCTGATGTGACGGTCTCCCTTACAGAGGAACTTCCTGTTATTCTTGTGTTGTGGTGGATAGGGACACTGCATAGTTACTGAACGTCCCACAATGCCGCTCAGTTCGCTTAATTTCACACAGCACCACTCTGTCAAACAGAAGGACATCAAAGCAAAATTATTTAAGAATCTAATAAAAAATCTGCCTTTATCCAATATTTTTGAACTATTTTTTTTTTTTTTTTTTTCATGTAACCCTTTTAGACGTTCCATGCCTTATATGTAATATACTGTACACTGTATGAAGTGTAAGTGTTAATAAAAAAAAGAGGAAGGACTATAAGACATTTGTTTTTAATGTCAGGAATAGTATTTAGTTTACGAAATTTTAGATTTGTTTCAAGATAATATTCTATTGCACAGTAAAGGAAAACACCCCCCAACACCAAGACAGTTGCATTTCAGGCATGAAAAAAAAAAAAACTCCCTAAAATCAAATGAGAGAAGTAAAGATTATGATGTGTGGCATATCTGCACACTCATATGATTCATATTTTGATATGAATAATTCATATTATTATTATAACTAGTCTTCGTCACAGTTGAATGAATCATTTGCAACATGAGGCAGTAAATGAACTGGGATTATTTTGATCTCAGTATGTTTTTTATTCAGTTCCCTCCTCTCCTAATGGTAAATATAATCACTACAGTATGTATATATGTAAATATTAATTATTTAATTATTATTTACCTGCTATATCCAGTTGTACTTCAGCAGTCGAGGGATCCCGGCCGAATCTATCCACCATGCACAAGTATTTTCCAGCATCCGTCTGATCAAGATCAGAGATGGTCACAGTGAAGATGCGTTTATTTTTGTCATCATGGATGGAGTATCTGCCCTTCTTCACCTCTGTAGTCTTAATCACAATTTCATCATCATTGTCACACTCATTCCTGCACAGGTACTTCGTATTAGACTTATATCCCTGATCATAGGGACAGGAAACATAAACTTCTCTCCCCTCATATCCAGACACATGGATCACATCAGCTGCACCGGTCACACCGCTCAGAGGAACTGCAAAGAGAAGACTGCATCAATAGGGTCTAAAATCAAATCATGCAGTCATAAATATGGATGTGTTAACTGTATATAGACAATAATAGAGAATTACAAAGATAAAATAACTTACCTCTTAGCACCTGTATATGCTTAAGTGCTTAAAAAAAAATAAACATTTATTGATTAATTAGAACTTACTGCAGAGGATGAACAGCAGGTCTTGAAGACTCCACATCTTTCTGTTCCTGCAAAGATTCTAGCACCCACAAAATGGGTCAGTTATCTCTGAGTTGCACATTTTAATCTTAACCTCAGAGTATTACACTTCTGCATCCATCACCCACATAGGAAGTTAGTTTTCATGCCCTGTGAGCTTCAAAAGAAGATGTCAAGTCAAATCCACCGCCTTATTGTCATACAGATTAGGTGGGAACGATGAAGGCATTTTAAGCATTGTATTTATTCAGCTTTGTATCTGTCAGACATACAAAACATGATCAAAAAAGGAAAAAAAAGTAATATATATACACAAACATATATACACATATTGGAAAGATCAGGGACAGTCCCAAGAATCTGGGAACCAAAACATTGCTGTTCTGAATTGTGCAGCACAATAGTAACATAATAGGTTTTGAAGAGAGAGTAAATGTGGTGCTAAACAAACACACAATAAAACATTTGTCTTTGTTTGAAAGACACATATTCATTGTGCTTGAAGAAATTTTGCATGCCATTTTTAAATTGATCACTAGTGAAGTAATAATAATGACATGTACCATTGGAAACTTAAGGGACAGAAAAAAACCTGTGAGCAAACTAGTGCAGATTGAAGTGACCATCTAGTCTCAACAAGCGATTGACTATTTGGTTCAAACACATTCAAAGAAATGTAACTGGACTTATGTGTCATAAGAGTTTAACTCCAGTTTATTGTGTTGACAGCGTCCATGTGGACTTCATCAGACACTTATTTCAGATTCTACTTGAAGTACAAGGAGCCTACTTTTCAAAAGTTACTCGTAACAACTTGTAGTTATACTTTCCACCCTGCTGTGTGGCACTAATGTTCTTCAGTTATTAGTCGGTTATTATTACAGATGTCAAATTTCTGTCATCAGCTCAGAACCCACACATCTGATTTTACTCTTTACTTTATTATGCAGAACAGATTCATGGAGGAAAGATAAAAAGAATAGAAAGTCTAAAAAATAAACTGATTTGAATTTTAAAATCTGAAAAAGTAATTAAAATTCAGTTTCATTATTCTATGTTAATTAAATGATAAAGGACTTCATTTTTAATAGATTAATAAATGGATTTAAAATTATTGAAATTATTATATCATTATAAGACATACATTGGCTGTACTTCTGTAAACAGCATGTGTCCGGTCAGGAAGTGCATGTTGTGGGATTCAGTGTTTTTGAAGCTTTACCAATATTAGGGACTAAAAGTTAGAATTCTTCACATTTTACCCATCTTAATGTAATCTCCCAAGTCCCCCAACTTTGAGGAAGTACTATGTGGTACTTTTTAACATTTTGTACCACTTGCAGCCAATCTGTATTTGCTTATCTTATCTTCTCTGAATTTGTTTTTTTTTTTGGGGGGCCTTATTGGCTGTCAGATTGGTGAATGTGTTTCTTATTTGCTTGTGTTTTAATAATTTTCAGCATTTTTTTTCTTCATGTGACATATTTTTTCAAATGTGTGAAGTTGTTTTATTCATTTGTGTTGTGTCTCTTTCTTCTGTCTAAATCTATAACGTTCAACTATAATGGTTTACTCCACTAGAGTGAGCTCTTGAGCCTCAGTATCTCCTGTCACATCTGATACAGTGAGCCTTCTTCCACCACAAAAGCAGTGTAAAAATCTAGTGGCAAATATGTTGATATGTATATAAAATTAGTTTAAAGTTATCCATTTATGTTTTCTCTCTGCTGAGCTGCACTCAATGACCACAATATTGGAGAAGTTAAATATGAATAAAGTATAACAATAAAACAGAAATGGAGGCACAGTCTTACACAATCAAAAGAAGACATATTTTTTTTACCATTGACAAATTACATGAGTCACTGTGGATTTTTCTTTTCATCACATGTTTAGTTAGAGTTTAAACATGGAGCCACCATCCGTCTCTATTCTTAGAGAGCTTCCTTCAAGTGCCACGACTGAGAATGTTACGAAACTGAACTTTATGTAAGGAGAAAAAGTTCAGACAGGCAGCTCCGTTCTTACATACTATTTATTTCATGACACCACTAACTGTGGGCATGGGATGGTGCCAGCGCTGTGTGTGTGTGTGGGTGTGTGTGTGTGTGTGTGTGTGTGTGTGTGTGTGTGTGTGTGTGTGTGTGTGTGTGTGTGTGTGTGTGTGAGAGAGTATTTGTGCATATGATTTTACCATTGTGTGGGATAAAAATGCACGCCCTCTCAGTCTCTTAGGGGAAAGTGATTTTTTTCCTCTTTTTTTATATTAAATGTTACAGTGAGATGTGACCCCGGATTGGGTAAGACTGATACACAACGTTAAATACACAAACATTACAATAAATATGCATTGACTAACTGGACCAAGTGAAACAAGGAGAGAGAAAAACAGGGAGATCCTTATGAAATCAAGGTCTTTTATAAGTTGAGCTCACGTGTCTTGCGGTATCCTGACTATGTGAGCAGCCTGGAAAGAGGTTGGTTTGATTTGAACTACCTGCTGCGAAACAGCAACATACTGCATGTGCCTTAAACGTAAAGTGTTAACAAGCTTGTGTTGGGATGCACAAATTAAATTTGTTTATGTTTGGATTGTATTTCCTTTGTCTTTTTATTGTTTTGTCAGTGGTCAGCTTTCATTTGCCTCATTTTCTTTGATAGGTGATGGAAAGGACCAGTGTAACCTGATGAAAGGGAGGGAGAAATAAGTTGTATAAATGAAGAAAATGGGAGGGATGGATGAAATAGCAGATCTGAGGGAGTGACAGAAAAAGAAAGAGGGAGGGAAAAGAGGAGAATAGAGAGACAGCAGGACCAAACTCACTGCCTTCTTTTCCTCCAGTGCTCGCTCCCTTCTTTCTCCTTGTGACTCCAGGCTGAGACTAACAGATAGGTGAGTTCTACTTCAGCATTTTTCTCTTTCTTCTCTTCACCTCAGCTTTTTGTCTCACGTTTTTCCTCGTTTGTCTCAGTCCATTTTCCCTCCACAATTCAAGATTTCATCCCTGCAGCTGCCTGAACTCATCCGGACTCATCTCGCCTTTAACAACCTTAATTCAGCCCTCACTAGTCTGAGTTATTGCTTTTGCATATTTGTTTGTACTGTTGCATGTATATATATAGACATATGGAAAGCAGAATTTGACTGAGCCCTGAGTGGATGAATTAACTATAAGGTGTCTCTTTCATCTTCCAGATCTCCTCTCCTATTGCTCCTTATCTTTTTTCCCCTCTGTTAGGAGAAAATGTTTTAGGGGTGGTCAAAGGATGAATTAATCATTGCTCATTAACCAAAATGTCTCCCACAGGCACAGACCTGCTGCTTTATTTATGTGTGAGAACATTTTTATGACGGTGTTTATTTGCTTTTGTGTCTGTTGGCTAAATACAAGCAGCTAAGCTTGAGGGTTTGCGGAAAGCCAAAGTTTCCGTTGGCTGGATGGAGAGGCTACTTTTAGCTTTGGTTATTACTCCCTCTGCCCTGGTTGGGCTATACTTTTTTTCACAATGTTTCTCAAGCCTCTGACTGTCCTTTAAATGACTCTGATTATTTTAAAGGATAAAAACATCTATCAATCTTTCATTTTACAGTGGAATGTCCCATTAGGGTTAGAAGAGAAGTTTCTAATTATATGTTTTGTCAGACTATGGAATGTGAGTTTCATGGCTTTGCGTGATCTTTGGGATTTTTGTGGTAACATGTGCACATATATATTTAGGAGCTCCTGCTTTACATGGATCGTCTCTGTTCGACTTCTCTAACATCACACCGCTTCCATTTCATTCCCATCACCTTTTTTTTTCCTTCCAGGATGCTGTGCCTCAGCTCCCTGTCCACACTCCTCCTCCTGCTGCTTCTCCTCTACACCCCTCCATTGTCTGCCCAGGAGGTGCTTGTGCGTCTAGCAGGTGTGGGCAGGCGCAATGCAAACGAGGGACGTGTGGAGGTGTTCTACAATGGCGCATGGGGCACAGTGTGTGATGATGAGGTGGATCTTAACCTGGCCAATGTGGTGTGCCGACAGCTGGGCTTCCAACGCGGCTTAACCTGGGCGCACAGTGCCAAGTTTGGCGAGGGACAAGGTGTGTCCCGCCAGTGGTGTTTAGTCTTGAACACCTCACTAATGAAAAAAAACAATTTATTTATTTTTATTCAATGACTTACTGCCCTTTCTTTCTGTTAGGTTTGATCTGGTTGGACAATGTGCGCTGCAAGGGCACAGAGCTGTCCATTGCAGACTGTCACTCCAATGGTTGGGGAATCAATGACTGCTCCCACGCTGAGGACCTGGGGGTGATTTGCAGCCAAGATAGGAGACCTGGTGCCTTGGAGGAGCCTCCTTCATCCTCCAGGCAACAGCCAACCCAACCAAGACAGAGAAACCCACCACAGTCTGTGTCCCCTCCCGCTCCACCTTCAACCCCAGCCTACATCTCTTCTTCTGCAAGAGGCCATGAGATTGCGCTCCTTCGCAACCCAACTTCTCCCCGTCGCAGCCTCATCTCACCGCAGGAAAATGGCCACGAGATCCAGATATTGCGACGGAATCGAGGAGGCTCCAGAGCAAGTCCGCAGGTTAGTTCAGCTATGCCTCAAGGGCACCAGCTACTTTCACGTCTGGCCAATGGTGCAGCCTACAGGCAGAGACAGGAGACAGCAAGAACCAGTCCACAAGCAGTGCGACGAGAGGCAGGGGGACAGGTAGACAGGCAGCCCCCAGCCCAGCCTCATTCCCAACTCCAGTCAGAGCGGAGGAGTGACAGGAATCAACAGCTCAGTGGGAACCACGTGGAACCAGAACCTGTTTATCCAGACATGGGACTGGATACCAATGTGCAAGATATACAGGTAAAAACACATACACACCTGCTCTAGTATCCACACACACAAGTAGCCCAATCCAGCCTTCATTCAGACTCCCATACATAAATGTAATTTGTGGAGCCGCAGGCCAGTGGACATGTATAATTAGAGACAAACCCAAAACCAGATATTCTCCAGATCCAGCTCTTGTGCTGCAGCAGTAGGACCCAACCACCAGAAGATCTACAGCCCCGACTCTTCAAACGTGCAAGAAACTCAGTTTAAAGGGAAATTGCAAGACATTTATCACTTGTGTTTGGCTTTTTCTTT